TACGTAAACTTGGTTCAACAAAACATTATCCTTTCTGCCAATTAAACTGTGCCAGACTGAGCCTCACGATTCACACACGGGTATGGGGCCTCTAATAAATAGCTAACAGAGCAGTTCAAGTCCTCTGGGAACACGTCAACAATCAAGATGTTTAACCCTCATGAGGGTCAAAAGGTTCATGCGCGACACTTACTCTTCGCATGTAAGCCGCGAAAGTACATTTCACCGGCTCTTTCAAATAATAGCCATAGGAAGAGGTGGTAGGTCCACGCCTGAACAAAAAAAGCTGTTTCAATCGCCTCCTACACAGGAACCTATCACAGAGCCTAGATCCGAGCCGTTTAGCATTTTGTGCCAACAAGGCGTTCATTTCCTCCCGGTATACCTTAAGTTAAGGAGGGAATGTTCCCCTGCTTTCTACACCTATGACCTTGACAAAATTGACCCCAGCTTCAGACATTCCCAACTCGTTTCGGAGATTACCCCCCACGTGCAGAACCGGAAACATATCGAGTGAAAACGCGTTACGTCAAGCAGGATTAGATTTGAGCCCAACTCGTATGACGTGGAAGAACAGCCACGCGGAGCAGCGCCGGAACGGAGGAAGGACGGAACACAACCATGCGATTCTACAAGCTGCTCACCTGACTACGTCAGACTGAGACTAAGTGAAATATTGAGATTCGAGAAAAGCCCCAATTATGGTGCGATAGGGTAAATGAGCTATTGTCACAAATTGACACTCATGGCGACCAGTGGTCCCCAAGTGACAGGCAGGTGACGAACGTGAAATGCATCGCGTTTTCGGAGATAAATATTACATAAAGAAAGGATGATCAAACGAGTACAAGTATCCCATGAGACGGGAAACGAATCGTATCAGATATGAAAGAACTGAATGATTGAACGAAGACAAAACCGAAGTACCGCCCCCCCCGTACGAAATGCGGGACGACCCAGTAGTGAACAGCTTCGACATTGGGAGTCACATGACCCACAGGCACTAAATAAGGAGACAATCTCAATAAAAAAAAAAAAAAAAGGGTAAATAAAAACGGCAGAAATGTAATTTACTTACCCCCCAAAGTGAATTAATGTATTCAGTGAGGTGACTACTAGTTCGCCTATAAATCCACCTGTGAAAAAGGCAACAAGAAAGAGTCAAGATGACCCTCATTCTGCGGACACGGCTAAGTACTCGGTATGCAAGTAGACAGAGCCCGAGCCGCGAACGGCGAAGAAGACAGACCGCGCTGAAGGTGCAAAAGACAACCAAACATGAATGGAAAGAAGAGAGGCAGCGGTCAGGAAAAGCGGTCGAGAGATCGCGAAATTCGTAGCAGACGCTCGCTTCATTTTACACGCAGCACAGAACGAAAAACACATCCAGACGCTTCCATGAACTTGCGATAACGCGTATGTGTAGAGGCATAAATGTTCAGCTGGTTCAAAGAAAAATACTATAACCGCCTAGGACTTATCGCTTCTTACCTACCTCCCGCACAGTAGAGACCTAATGAACTCCGTGAAATCACTGCCGAAAGCTCCTTAAATCATATTATTTTCTAAAGCAGTCTGTCTATAGCACCCTGAAGGCTGAATCAGTGAATGCTCATGTGGGTAGGCAAAAACACGGGCAGCCCATGGCTGGCACGCTTCTAATCATAATTGTTGCCTGCCAACCTGCATGTGTCTGCAATGCATAGAGATTAGGTGGGTGCGAAAGTGTAGCTGATATATTTGTTCCAATTGGCTACGAAAGTCAAACAAGAATAAAGAAGACTTATGTATAAGACGTCTTGCTATGCACAAATGAATTTATCAGCAGAACACCAGACACCAGATGAGCCCTGTCGCACTGCAGCACTTGTATTACTGAGTCAGCAGATTACCATAATTTATAATAATTCATTAACATATTTTTGCTTTCATTTTCAGGAGAATTGCGAGAATATTTTTCCCAATATGGCCATGTAACATTTGCAAATGTTCTCTTTGTAAGTAAATAAGTCAAGTATGAAAACTTGTTCTCTATTAGTATTACGTTTTTATAAAGAGTTCACGTTTTTGAAGAATTTAATTGTATTAATGGTGCTACTATTTGATTGATAATTTTTATTGCAAAATAATTATATGAGTGAAATTTTCATGTGCATCATTTGGGTTGCTTGATTCTTGCAAGTGCTTTGAAGATGTGAAATGTTGTATTAAAAACATAGTACTGCTATTATAATAGTGTGTTATGACTCTGCAGGATAAGGTCAGTGGAATGAGTAAGGGGTATGGGTTCATCCAGTACAGCAACAGAGAGGGTTATTCCAATGCAACAGGCAAAGACAGTCACTTCTTGGAAGGAGGCCAGGTAATCAATCACATTGTAAACCCCTTTTGTATTTGATCACTGAGAAAAAGTTAGGATGTCATGAGTGCGATGAAAGACTGCTGATATTATGCATGGCGTATGCATTAGTATGCTTTCACTTTCTCCAGATATTTCTTTCTACATAAAAGCAACTGAGATTTTTCAAATTACATTTTGTATTATTCCTGGTATCGTTGTGTGTATATACAGCTGATGTTCTTTTTAATAGTTGATTGTAGAGCAGACTGGAGGAGGAGGAGGAGGAGGAGGACAGTTCGATCGAGCAAGTGGACGTAGAGGCTTCACAAACAAAGTTGACCAATTTGATCTTCAAAATGTCATGAACAAAAGCTGATTTCGATTTCGATCAGCGATGCAAACACGTAGTTGCCTAAGATCTGTGAAGATTGTGGTTTAGTAATTTAGTAGGGAAACACATTTGTGTAACAGGCAAAGCTGAACGCGTTCTTCTTCAGACGTACGTGAACATGTTGTTGTAATTATACATATATTGTGAAGCAATTTTTGACATCAACGGATTGACCATCCTGTTGCCATTTTAGCCAAGACTTTTGTTGCAATTAGCATTATGCACAAGTATTGGCACAGCAAAAGTAAAAATGCTGATGCCACATCTCGTTTAATCGAACAAGACCAAAAGGCATAGTTGACTGTCCAGATGTTGTATTGTTAAAATGTAAATTACATAATTAAAACTGTTCATGCTGGCATGTAATACTTTTATGATATTCTTATTGCTATAATTATTATCAATGTTATTCAAGACACTGCCAATAGACAGTATATCCATGTTGCTTAAA